CTCGTTGAGTTTGTGATTGTGTTTTTTGATCTGCTTGTAATTTGGATTCATGGTAAGCGAATACGTTTGATTTTTATCTGTGTAGCTTTTGAGGTAGAGGTTTCTTTTAGGCTAGTTTGATTCTTACTCGTTTTTGCTTATTCAGAAATGATATTTGTGTTATGATTAGGTCATGGAAGCTGCGAATCATCTGTGTTGTTGTTGATGAATGTTTTTGTCTGATATGGAAAGAGTTGGGGAAGAAATTGTGGCGAGTAACAGTATACAAGTTAAAGAACTAGCTAGTAATGTTGTTCTGTTTAAGCTAGATGGTCAGGTTTTGACTCAAGAATTTGGATTAGCTAGAAATGATGATCCTTCGAGGAGCGATTTTCCGGGAAGTTCAGTTCATAGGAAAGATGATGCTGGCTCAGGGGTTTCTGTGGAAGAGCTGACATTGGGGAAGTTTAGGAATCCGGTCTCGGGTTTAAGAAGTAATATTGATAGTTTTAAGGCTGGGAAGTTTGACCATCTGTCTGGTTTAGCGAAAGGATTTGGTTTTGGTGGTGTAGATGAGGAACTTCGTTCACGACCTCCTGATATGGATCAGATGTTGTCAAGAATCAGACAACAGCTTTCAAGAGCTCCTCTTGAAAGGCAAAATTTGAGACCTGATCAGCCTCTTGACGCTGTTTCAGGACGATTAAGAGTAGCAGGAGGAAGTGACAAGAGTAACAAAGATGCATCTGCATTGACTAGTGGAGATGTCCATTTGGAAACACCCTTGAGTTCTTCAAATTTTTCTCAGTTGATAAGTAAAAGAGCTTTGAAAGGGAAGGAGATAGTTGGAAAAAAACCGGAAACTCATCTTGAATTCGGCTTTGATAAGGATTTAGGAAGAAGCAAGGAAGAAAGACTGGATCATAAGTTGCCGACTACTCACAATGTGTCAACCCTGAAAGCACTCCACGAAGAAAACATGACGGTACTATGCTCTGCAGATGGGGATTATCCTAAACTTTATCCGCAGGAAATCAGTTTGAGGGAATATTTGAGATCAGGTAATATTAAAAGAGAGAAACTTAGGGGACTTCTTCTGTTTAGGCAATTGGTGGAGCTGGTTGACTCTGCCCACTCACAAGGATTCTTTCTACAAGACCTAAGGCCTTCTTTTTTATCTGTATCTCCATCTGATAAGCTTAGGTACATCGGTTCTTCCGGCAAGAATGATTCAGATTGGGATGCTAATGAAGTTTCAAATAGGAAGAGAACCTTAAGTCAAGAATCATCTACAGTAGATAGAGATTTAAAGCAAAGAAAAGTGGGTGGGCATTTGCATTTGCCAAGTAGTCGATTGCAGGTCACCACAACTCAGAGACCTGGTACAAAGACAAGTCCTATGATTGATTTAAATGCGATTGATGAACAAGATCAAAACTGTTATGAACTTCACCAGCAAAACCATTTTAGCCATCTTGGTGCATCTGTCACTCCGATAAAGCAGTGTATCTCCTCAGAACTTTGGCTTGAAAAACTGTGGTATGCTTGTCCAGAGGAGCAAGGCATAAACAATAACAGATTCAAATCAAATATATATTCCCTTGGTGTTCTCCTTTTTGAGGTTAGGACAACTTTGGTGATGTTTTCCATTTTTTTTCTACAGTTTTGTGAGTTAGTTAAATGTAATTGCCTCACTTTGTAGGCGTCTTACTAAAAGGTCTAAACCCATTTATGTGATGGGTGAATATTGTGATTTCTCTAAGCTTGACCGTGGTTGGTTTCAGTTGCTATGCGATTGCGAGTCCACTGAGATGTATACTGCAATGATGGCAGATTTAGGCCGTCGAATTCTTCCACCAACGTTTTTTTCGCAAAACACCAAAGAAGCTGGATTTCTATTTTGGCTTCTACATCCTGAACCCTCCTCTCGACCCACAGCTAGGTACTACCTTCTTAGAGCTTTTTGAGCTTTCTTCTATTCTTGCTAAGGTCACCATTAATAAAGTGATACTCTGGAATTGAATGATATGGGAATTTTAGGTCATTGCTTCTTTTTTGCTCTGCATCCTTTGTCTTTGCCTTGCAGAGAAATACTGCAGTCTGAGTTGCTATGCAAGGAAAATTCAGTTTCATCCGCTGGTGATGATGAAGAGGTGCCGGAGCTGTTGCTTCACTTTTTGGCGTCACTAGAAAAGCAGAAGCAGAAACATGCATCTAAGCTATTGCAAGACATCCAGACCATAGAGGAAGACATCAAAGAAGCTGAGAGAAGGTATTCTTCAAATACATCGCTAACCATACCTCGTGGAGCTAGTGAAAGAAGATTTCAATCATCTCAAGCAAATGGAAGCTGTGATACTATCTCAAACACTCCGTTTGTGCCAACAGATAGGCTGATAAATAATATCCGTCAAATTGAGGATGCATACTTCTTCATGAGATCCCAAATGAACGTACCAGGTTCTGCTAAGAGTGCCCGCTCTGACAAAAGCGTACTGAAGGACAGGGATATGTGGTCTGATATCCAAAATGAGAAGAAAGAAAAATCTTCAGATCAAGTTGAAGTGTTTTTTGAGGGGTTATGCAAGTTTGCTCGGTATAGTAAATTTGAAACTTGTGGGACTATAAGAAGCGGGGACCTTTTAAACTCAACGGGTTTGATATGCTCTTTGAGTTTTGACCCTGATGAGGAACACATAGCGGCAGCTGGTATATCAAAGAAGATCAAGATTTTTGACTTTGATGCATTCATGGATGATTCAGTCGGTGTTCATTATCCGCTAGTTGAGATGTGCAATAAAACTAAACTAAGCTGTGTTTGCTGGAATAGCTACATCAAAAACTACTTAGCCTCAACTGACTATGATGGTGTAGTTCAGGTGCGTGTGAAAATTTATATTTCGTTAATTTGTTTGAAACTTCCCTTGTTTGCATCCTCTGTTACACTTTATGTATGTTAGGTTTCAAACTTTCTTAGTACAGTGGGGTGATCTATGTGATTGGGTCCAAATATCCTGATTGCCTAAGTGACCATGGAAATGCATTTTGCCATGTTCTTACCTTATGGTGTTGATGGTAAGTGCAGATATGGGATGCTGGGACAGGACAAGGGTTTTCGCAGTACGCGGAACATCAGAAGAGAGCCTGGTCAGTGGATTTTTCCCCATCCGACCCGACAAGATTTGTCAGTGGAAGTGATGATTGTTCTGTGAAACTTTGGAGCATCAATGATGTACGTCTCATCTCTTTCCATGAAAAGTCTTAAATAATCCTTTATTCTCATGATAATAGATGAACAAGTTAATGAGGCTTCCTCTGTTTGGATAATATGTAATCGAAATGTTTTATTTTTATCTCATGGCTATGCAGAAACGGTCAACAGGAACTATCCGGAGTCCAGCAAATGTGTGTTGTGTGCAGTTCTCTGGTTCATCCAGTCACTTGTTGGCGTTTGGATCAGCTGATTACAAAGTCTATTGCTACGATCTTCGGTATGTGAAAACTCCTTGGTGCACATTAGCTGGTCATGAGAAGGCTGTTAGCTATGTGGAATTTATGGATTCAGAAACCATCGTTTCCGCTTCAACTGATAACTCACTCAAGCTTTGGAATCTCAACAAGACTTATTCCTCTGGCTTATCTTCTGGTGCATGCTCATCTACATATAAAGGACACACAAATCAAAAGGTTACTCCCAAATTTCTCTTACATTTGCCACTCATCCAAATAGTTCTCAATTTTTAATCTTTCCCTTTTACAGAATTTTGTCGGTTTATCAGTTTTGAACGGTTACATAGCCTGCGGTTCAGAGACCAATGAGGTATTATATCATTCTGGTTTGGTTTCTCATGGTTCTTGAGTTAGAGACTTCAATTATAAAGCAGTCTTTCATCAAATCAGTAGCTAGAACCACCTTCTTAACTTGCATTTTACTTCTCAGGTATACAATTACTACAGATCCTTACCAATGCCAATGACTTCGCACAAGTTTGGATCAGTCGATCCCATTTCCGGAAACGAATCCTATGACGACAATGGACAGTTTGTGTCGAGCGTCTGTTGGAGAAAAAAATCGAATATGCTTGTAGCTGCTAGCTCTACTGGAACCATGAAACTACTGAAACTGGTTTGATTTTATTAAGGGTAAAATCCGGATTTGCACTTCACCAAATCTGTATCCATGTGTACGAGGTATTATCAACTGTACAAAATTCTCATACCCCTCCAAATGTAAATTTTGTCGGAAAATCACTGAAGAGATGTACTAGTATCGTAGAGCTCATAGTCTTGTAGTATAATCTCTTTGTTCTTTACTGGTTAAATCAACAAAATCTGCATTGTGTTGCTCATTATATTGTGTTTTGTTATTATTGTAGTTTTAAAACTTTAGTAAAAGAAAATTCATATTTCAATTTTAATAAAGCGTATTGAACGGAAGATAACTAATTTTCATTTGCCCCATAACCACAAAAAAAAAATAATAATAATAAGCAACTAACCAATTAACTTAAATCTTAGTGATTATGATTGTGCCACATAGGGCAATTTTGATTAGTTGCTTAATTTTATTTTTTTTTTAATTAACCCTAATTTTTTCGTACTTGCTTAATTATTTGAAACTTTTTGACATGCAAAAAAAAAATATTAGTAATCATTTGAACCTGCTAAATCGTTTATTAAGATCTAATGGGTTGTTAATACACTAACGGGCCGATAATGTAGGCCCAATGTGACTCACGGCGCACGTTAGCAGCTGAGACTGTTTAGTGTCTCTGTCGAGAGATCTCACCACCCAGACGAGTCTTACCGAGTCAGACTCAGTTGGTAAAGTAATTTTATCATCTTCTTCTTCAACATCGAAATTTTTAATTTTAATAATTAATCTTTTTCTTCTCTCTTCTTCCCTCGACTTTTAAAAAGGCATCCGCGCCAGTGCTAATTTAATCATTTCATTTCATCTTCTTCACAA